ATGAGGGCTGCCCTGACGGACACCCCGATGGACGCCCCGGTGGCCCTCGCTCCTGCAGCCCTGCTGCAGCACCCCTGAGCATCTGCCTCCGAGGGGTCACGGCTCGTCCCCAAGGACAGCAAATGAGTCCCTTCATGGAGAGAGGCCATGTGCAATGGTGTTGCTGCCAGGAGAGCACCAAGAGCATTGCTGCCACCTCCCTTCGCGCCTCCCCAGCCACTCCCCCACCACAGCACAGCCCAAGGGACAGGCAGACGTAACTCTTCAAAATCCCTGCTCCCCCCGCCCCCCCAAAAAAGTAAGACATCTTACCTTGGTTTAGTGCAAAAAAGGGAACAGGTTAGTCTTGCCACATTAGGTATAGCACACCAACTCCAACCACCAGGTCAGGGCAGCCAAACCCCCCCTGGGCCGCTCGAACGCTCTGCCCACTTCTCCCCTTCTTGAATTACTTAATTTAGCATCATCCAGCATGAGGATTTAGTTAGAGGATTGCTTCTTTGTCCTGCCCAAGGAAAACCACCTCTGTGGAGTTTCAGAGCCATCGATGCCATTTGGGGATGGCTCTAAACTACGGTGACCTCCTGGGGAGGCTCAGGACCACCAAGAGCTGCACCCATGGGTGCTGTGCGGGGCGAACGGGCGGCCTCGAGGCTGGGGAGGGCCCTGCGCTTTCCGAAATAGCTGAGAAACAAGATCATGGGTGAAATGAATGGGGGTGCAAGGCTGCGGGCGGCCAGGGAGGGGGTGGAAGCTGCGACAAATAACACCATTTACAGACTGAGTGACCGAGTGCGGAGGGACAGGATGGCGAGGGGATGGACAGACGGACGCCAGGGGCAGCATGATGAGCGCGGCGGGACACCAGCTTGCTGCAAGGCTTGTCACTGGGACACCTCTCCCGGCTATCAGAAAGGCCCCTCTGAGCAGCATCGGTGCACACCAGGTGTGCCACCTCAAGCCACCACAGCTGCCAGGCCTGGCACCCTGGACAGGGACACAAACAGGTCCCCCCCAGGCTGCCTTTGCCATGCATCTGGCCAATGCACGTCTAGATGGACCCCGGGCCATCCCCGTGGCCGGATCGTGCCGGTACAGCACACAGAGGCGCTTGCAGGGGGACACGAGACCCTTGTTTTGCTGCTCAGGCACCTCCCTGGCACCTCTGAGGCCACAGAAGCTGCCGCAGCCAGCGCAGGGCTGGGACCGCCTGCAGGGAGATGCTGTGCGGGACCCACCGACCCGTCCCAGGGCGCCCAGCCCCAGGCGCCGGCCGGTCCCTGGAGCTGCCGGAGAGCTTTGGCCATCCCAGTGCTGAGCCTTACAGCCAGGCGGGGACAGGGGGTGGCAATGCTGGGGCGCGGGTGGCACACAGACCCTGGGACCCGACGGGAGACACGGGGGTTTGCCATGACGGGGGGAGGCGGGGAAGGGCCCTGGTTTGTGGCAGGTTTCCCTGCTCCATGGAAGCACCTTTTCCTGACCCCCATGCAGCCGAGCCAGGCACTGCTAAACCCAAGTATATTGCCATATCGTCCCCTGCGGCACAGCGGCAGGGCTCAGCCCAGCAGCAACCTCCAGCAATTTCTTTTTTGGGGGGGAGCCAGCGCTGAGCTCCAGCTCCCGCCCCCACGCAGCCCCCAGCAGCGATGCTGCCACGTCGGACGTTCCCCGTGGGGTCTCCTGGCTTAGCGGGGAGTGAATTGATGGCGCTGGGCCCCTCTGCGGCAGGACACGGGCTCTCCCTCAGCCCCAGCTCTTCTGCGGGAGGGGGAGATACCAGCGGGGTCTGAGCTCTGCGCAGCACCCGCCGGCCAGCTGGCAATATACTCTGCTGGCGTGGGGCTTCCATGAGCCCCAGCTGGGGCTGCTTCTCTGATGAAGGACACAGTTCATCATAGGAAAATGCCAACTTTTCACCTTAAGCGTGGGCTACCGAAGCCTAAAATCCAGCTAGGTCGGGCTATTGCTAATCTCTAGGCTGCTGCAGTAAAAAGGGGCCTTTCTGGCACACTTTACACCCCTGCGTAAAGGTGTAAATGGTGCAATAACCCTGCAGCTCCCGCAGACGCCAACAAGGTGCCCCGGGGCATCTGCAGCACGGGCGCGCTTGCGGCAGCAGCTGCTGCCTCGCGCCAAGCCCAGCACCTCCCCGGTTAGAAAATGGGGTCTGCCAACACTAGAGAGTTGTCCAGTAACACAAACCAAGGGCTGTGAAGGGCTTTCCAAGTGCTGCCTTGCCCCGGAGCTGCAGCTGCCCCACAGCAGCCGAGAGGCGAAGGGGCCGGTGCAGGAGCTCCAGCGTCACCTTGCAGCGCACGCCGGCAGCTCCGCTGCGCTCAGCCTCCCGCGAATCCCCTCCTCGAGCTGCCGCTGGCTTTACAGACCAAAACCAACTTGCAAAGCAAAGGAGGGAGGGTTTTTTTTAACAACAGGGCTGTGATTTCCCTGTAAGAACTCGGCTAGAAAAGGGTCCCTCAGGTTTTTATCTCCGTGACATTACAGAGCCCTGCATTTGCACCACCGTTGCAGGACGGCCTTTTGTTTTCCAATGTCACCCCTCAAATCAGCGCTTGAAAGGCTCAGGTATCTAAGGTGAAAACCGGCAAGGGTGTGGATTGGGCTTAGCTGGCATGATCTTGTTGTATGCTGCACGCCGTGAGTCACGCGGGACTCCCAGGGAACGGGAATTACCTTGCAAATATCCCAGGTTTACCCGATTCATCACATCACTGGCTGTTAAATTTGCTACATCCTCTACAGAACATACAGGGAAAGGCACAGACATAAACAGAGAGAGAGAGAGAGGTCAGCAAGCCATGATTCGGCAAATATCAGAGACGAGCTCCTGCACTGCAGCAATAAAATGAGCAAAAGAAAAAGGAAAGGGGGAGAAGGCAGAGCAACGTGTTCTTCCAAAATGCCATGGGTGTCCAGACACGGACGGTGACACACAGTGACAACACGCTGTCCGGGGCACAGCCGGCCGCAGACGTGCTGCAGGGGCCAGGGAGCTGCCGGTCCCCCCGCCATGCCCAACGCCCCCGCTCCCGGCCAGGCATCGCCCTCCCGCCCCGACGGGAGACGGGTCCTGCACCCCCTTCGCGTGCCGGAGCTCCCCCGGTTTGCTCCAGCCAAAATTTGCCAGATCGGCCAGGTGAAGGATGCAAACTGACGCTAACCCAGCCAACGGTGCCCCGAGCGTCCCGGCGGGCTGCATCCTCAGCCAGGGCCGTTCAGCCGGGGAAGCTGCCTCTGCCTTAGCCTCTGCCTGCGCTTGCAGGGGATGCCACGCCGTGGCCTGCCCTCAGCGGCACACGCTGCCGCACCTCTTGCTTCAGGTGCGTGGGCTGTGCTTCAGCTGCACCTTCTTTCCCAGCTTCCCACGCCTGGCAGCTGTGTAAAACAGCTTTTTTAAGGCAGCAAATGTCATCAGCCATGCTCCAGACTCTGCAACAGAGCTGCAGGGAGCTGGGAGTCCCCCAGAAAAAAAACACCAGAAACTTTTAGGACTAGTAATGTA